AAATTTAATCAAACAATATTTGGCATTTTGTGACTGGCTTCTTTTACACAGAATGTCTCATGGATGAGGCTCACATATTAGAAATTTCTCTCACCCCCCCTTTTATGGTAGTATACTCTTCTATTATATGGATATATCCTGTGTTGCCCATTCATTTGACATGTAATATAAGACTAGACAGTTACGACTTCTTGATGATTGATTGTGAACAACAATGTAAACAAACATTTGTGTGTGAGTCTTTGTTTGTAAGCAAAGGTTGTAATTTCCTCTCTGTAGATATCTGGAAGTGAAATTGCTTTACTGTAGGGTGGATTTTTGTTTAACTTCTAAAGAAACTATCAGACTCTTTATAGCCAGCTGCATCATTTCACATCTCACCAGCAATGTATAAAAATGGCATTATCTTCACACCATTGCCAGTGTTTAGTATTGTCTGACTTTTAAAAAAATTGTTTTCCAAGCCAGGCAGTGGTGGCATACAACTTGAATCACAGCACTAGGGAGGTAGAGGCAGGTGGATCTCTGTAAGTTTGAGGCTGACCTGGTCTACATAGAGAGTTCCAGAACAGGCTCCAAAGCTACACAGAGAAATCCTGTTTCAAAAAATAAAATTGTTTTACAAAACAAAAACAAAAGTTTTTATTTTATGTGGGGTATTTTGCCTGCATGTGTTTTTCTGCAGTGCCCAAAGAGACCAGAAGAGGGCATTGGGTCCCCAGGAACTGGAGTTACAAACTTGTGAGCTGCTATGTGGTGCTGGGAATCAAACCCTGGTCCTTAGAAAAAGCATCCATTGCTCTTAACCATTGAGTCATCTCTCTCTGGCACCATTGTCTGACATCATCATTAGTGGTAGTAGCATTATAGTCATTTCAGTAGTTACAAAGAAAGGTCACATGATGCTTTTAGTTTTCATTTTCCTATTAAGTGGTGATGTTGCCCATCTTCATATCCTTTTGTCCATTTCTAAAACTGAGTTGTCTTCTACCTTGTCTGAAATTCTCTATCCTCCATAAGCTCTAGTTGTTTGTTAGGTACATGCTTCTCAAATATTTTCCCCCATCCTGTGACTTTAAAAACAATTTCTTATATGGTTGTCTTTTTGAAGTTCTAAAGGTAACTTTTTGTCACTGCTGCTGCTGCTGCTGCTGTTGTTGTTTTGAGACAAATCAAATATGTAGCTGATAACCTTGAACTTCTGATCCTCCTGCCTATACCTCTCTGGTACTGAGATTACAGACATATATTATATGCTAAGGTGGGGATCAAACCCAGAGAATTTTTTTTCTTTTTTGCATTTGAGGCAGGGACTCTACCCACTAAGCTACATACCAAACTTATGACAAGTAATTTTGCTTCTGTCTAAATTATCATTTAATGGGTCATGTTTTATTTCTTCCTTCATTGGTTGTCTTCATTTCTGTGTATGGGACAAGGGGAGGATGTAAAGTCGTATTTTTATATGTGGGTATCTAATTGCTCCAGCAATTGCTACAAAGGCAATTCACATTGAATTACCTTGGCCCCCTTTTCAAAAATCAATTGGCCATAAATACGCTGTTTATTTCTGGACTCTGGATGTTTTGCCATTGATTTATATGGCTTCTCATATCAATTCCACACTGTCTCAATTGCTGTAGTTCTATATTAGGTTTGAAATTGGGGACTTTGTTCATCTTTTTTGACACCTCTGTGCTAAATTTTGAATTATAGTTACACCATTTTTCTTCTGTCCTGCTGCTAGCTGCCATACTGTGCCATGCTTTCTGTCACAGTACCTAATACTAGGACAATGACTCCTCTTCCTCTTCCTCACTATATGCTATGGTCTGGAAGTTGAAGAACAATGTTTTATGTTGGTGTAAATCTCTCTGCCACACATCAGCTGCTAGCAGAGGGACATCTAGGAAGTGACAGATAGTGCAGTTTCAGAATGGAGTGCTCTCCCTCTCTTCCTCCCTCCCTCCCTTCCTCCCTCCCTTCCTCCATCCCTGTCTCCCTTCTTCTCTCCCTCCATTCCATATTCAGTTATGAAGATCATAGCAAAGAAGGTGACTGTACAGCTGTGTCCCAGGCCACAGTTCACCTGAGGTACTAAGATCATGTCTGGACATCACCACATCACCAACCCACTTTCAGTCTGGACACCAGTTCTCCCACACAAGTCTGTGTCCTTTTGGGACTTTACTCTTGGCTCTTGGCCAGTGGGTATGTCACCCTTCTTTGGTGACAGAGACTTTTTCTAGGATTTTGGAAGGATTATCTCTGTTTTCTGCTAGACTGGAGTGTGTGGTATAAGGCTAGAATTCTCCCATTATCTTGCTGTCCTGTGGAAAAAGCCTGCCTGGGATGCAAAACCTTCTTGCAAGAAAATGGATCTGGGGGCTGGAGAGATTGCTCAGAAGTTAAGAGCACTGACTGCTCTTCCAGAGGACCTGGGTTCAATTTCCAGCACCCACAATGCAGTTAACAACTGTCTGTAACTCCAAGATCTGATACCCTCCCTCAGACATATATGCAGGCAAAACAACAATGCAAAGAAAATAAAAATAAATAATTTTTAAAAATTTTTACTTAAAAAAAGAAAAGAAAATGGAACTGGGAATGAGAGAGACAGGGAACCCTGAAGCCTGGGATCTCTGTGATCCCCCAATGTCAAGCCATGTCTTTACTGGGTCTCCTGCTGAAGTTTTTAACTGGGCAGGCTAAGCTTAGCCTGGATTTCAGCTAATTCACATAGTTTATGAGGGGCTCTAAGCAAACAGAAAAGTCTAGAGTGATGAGCATGGGCAGGACTGTAGTGAAGAGGAGCCTTAAAGGGACTCAGCTTGAGGAATAGTCCTGGGAACACTTGTCCCTGGAGATGTAGGATATTAAAGGGACAGGGTCCTCACTGAAGGAGAGAAACTTTGTGTTGTGAGAATGATTACATGTGTTTTTTTGGGTTCCATGGAGATTAACTAGAATCCATGATAGGAAGGTCCTGGAAACAGATTTTAAGACAAGATGTTGACATTTCAACAGTTTAGTCTGTCTGAAAATGTGATGACCTGCATTGATACTGCATTTTTCTTGTCTCAGAAGGGTTTTAAGTGACTCATTAGAATGGATCCAAATGACTCAATTAACAGTGTGTGTGTGTGTGTGTGTGTGTGTGTGTGTGTGTGTGTGTGTGTTTTCTCTTTGCTATGCTATCCTGGAACACAGGCCTCAAGCATGCTCACAAACCTGAGTAATCCCCAGCTCAAATATTGCCACTAATTTCTTCCACTTAAGTTTTTTCTTTCTCAGTGATGGAGAACAAAGGCATGACCTTATCAATGCTGGGAGAGTTCTATTACTGAGTCACGACTGTATTGACTTACAAAGTTATTTGAATAATCTTCATTATTTTTGCTATATGATAAAGATATAAGTTGTATTGTTTTTTCAACATTTTCTTTGCATCAGTTTTCCTTCCTTCCTTTCTTTTTTCTTTCTTTCTCTCTTTCTGAGGGGGATTTCTCTGTAACAGCCCTGACTGGCTGGGCGTTGGTGGCGCACGCCTTTAATCCTAGCACTCGAGAGGCAGAGACAGGGTTTCTCTGTGTAGCTTTGGAGCCTATCCTGGCACTCGCTCTGGAGACCAGGCTGGCCTCGAACTCACAGAGATCCTGTCTCAAGAAAGAGACAGAAAAAAAAAAAAAAAAGCCCTGTCTGTTCTGGAACTCACTTTGTAAACCAGGCTGGACTCAACTCACAGGGATCAGTCTGCCTTTACCTCCTGACTTCTGGGATTAAGGTCAAATGCCACCACAGCCCAGCTAATTTTCCTTATTTCTAAGTAAGCTTACTTTCAAGTGAAACCTTAAGTCACTATTATAAGTAAAAACCACAGATTAATAGCCAAATATAAATATAGACAATAGTATTAGGTGGTAACCAGGTGTTAATGCAACAACATTTCTGTTCATTATCTGAATAGTCTTTATTAAAACAGATCAATAGTTAAAGACACAGGGGCTGGACACAAACTGGAAATGGTGGTGCATACCAGCACTTCGGACTTAGAGGCAGGAGCATCAGAAGTTCAAGGTCACCCTCAATATATAGCAAGTTCAAAGGCAGCCCAGACTACATGAGATAGTGTCTTAAAGAGAAAAAAAAAGATCTCTGAATATAAAGCATAGACCTATGTACATGTCTGTATGAGTGTATGTGCATGTGTGTGTGCCTTATATGTGCATATGGAGGCCAGAAGAGGATGCTGGGTGACCTCTATCATTCTCCCCTATTCCTTTGAGGCAGGGTCCCTCCCTCAATCTTGGGCTTATGTTTTCTAGATCCTCCTGACTCTTCCCTTCTCAGAGTTGCAGTTAAAGGCATGTGAAGAATGCCTGGCTTGTTTTGTGGATGCTTGGACCCAAACTCCGATCCTCATGGTTAAGCAGCAAGCACTTTTAACCAATGAATCATCTCTCCAGCCAAGTGGACTACAATCATTGTGTGTGTGTGTGTGTGTGTGTGTGTGTGTGTGTGTATAAATATATTAGATTTTTTAAAAATTATTTTGTGTTTATAATCATTTTGCCTGCATGTATGTATGTATGGCTGGTTCCTCAAAGGTTAGAAGAGGGCATTGGGGCCCCAGGAACTGGAGTTACATATGGTTGTGAGCCACTATGTGAGTGCTGGACATTGAACAAGTACTATCCATCACTGAGACATCTCTTCAGTCCCAGAATACTACATTTAAATATACACACACTCTGAGGTACTTCAAGAGGTTTACTTAGCTGAATTCTAAAACAGTAGCAAATTGGCCTTTATGTACCTGGAAACTAGAAAAGACAGTGGACTGAGGGAGTTCTGCTGCATCAACTTGGGAGACTACTTGGAAGTCAGCCAGTTGGCTTACTCTTTTGTCGACAACCTAGTGTTGAAAAGCATTTCTCATTCATATTTCACTATCAAGAAATCCAAAGTACCAAAACATACTGCAAATATTGTGAGTCTAGCATATTTTATTTAAGAAGAGGGAGAATTTAAGTTCTTTACCTGTTGTACAAAGTTTCTGGCCTTAGATCTATCCAGAAGTAGCAATGATGATTGGAGTACCAACTGGCTCCATTCCACCGTGGCTAGTCATCAGAAGACTTCCTTCTAGCGATTTGGTGATAACGTTAGCTCTGTACTCAAGCCTTGTTTCTGAGGACTGTGGAGCATATTTATTTAAACATGAGCATTATTGTCCCGTGATATATATCCACTGATCTTTTTTCTTCTTTTTCTCAGAGAGGATTTGAACACCAAACCACAGGCTTCATTTCTATCTGCTCCTCATCTCCTTTCTTAGTTCCCTTGTTCCAGATGAATCCTGAAAAATCCCTGCCCTGACTTTGATGGGACTATTGTTTCTGGCAATGTCCTAGTAAGGGTTATCATGGCTGTGATCAAAGACCAGGACCAAAACAACTTAGGAAGAGAAGGCTTATTTGGCTTACACGTCCACAGCACCATTCATTATCACAAGAAGTCAAGACAGGAACTCAAGCAGGGCAGGGACTTGGAGGCTGGAGCTGATACAGAAGACATGGAGGGGTGTTGCTACTTGGCTTGCTTCCACTGGCTTGCTCAGACTGTTTTCTTGTAGAATCCAGGACCACCTACCCAGGGATGGCACCACCCACAATGGGCTAGGCCCCAGCCCATCCCCATCAATCACTAATTAAGCAAATGCCCTACAAGCTTGCCTACAGCCTGATCATATATTTTGTTTTATGTTTGTTTGTTTGTTTGTTTGTTTTTCCCCAAGACAGGGTTTCTCTGTGTAACAGTCCTGGCTGTCCTGGAACTTTGTAGACCAGGCTGACCTTAAACTCACTGAGATCCACCTACCTCTGCCTCCCAAGTGCTGGGATTAAAGGCGTGTGCCACCACCCCACCCAGCTAAGCTTAGGGTTTAGACAGAAAGAAGGGCTATGTATAACTGAACAGTCTGACTGAGTGGTTGATTGCCCACCAGTGTCTCAGCTCCAAGTCTCTCCTGCAAGGTTACCTGAGAAGTTGCAACTTTCTCCTGGGCACAAGTTCCTCCTCTGGATACCCAGATGCTTCCTCTTCCAGCAGTGTTCCATGAGAAATTCTAATTTCTTCTGGTCCATTCTTTCAATAGCCTGATAGCTAAAGACGGGAGTACAAGTGTCTCTTTAGAATACACTCATTCTGCCAAATAGGCCAACTACACATGGGCTGAAAACTCTGGAATCATGGGCCAAAATAAAAGTTTGCCTTCTTATGCTAATTTTCTCAGCTATTTTCTCAGCAAGTGAAGCTAGTGATCTTAGCTGTAGAGAAAATTCTCTCTCCTTACAAATGTCAGTATATTCACCATCCAGGAAAACCTCCCCAATCTGTGCCTCAAGTGGCAATGTCCAGAGTTTTCATTGGACTTTGATTACATAGACATGGCGTTGCCTTACAACTGAATTCAGTCACCAGCCCCTCCCTCTCCCTGGAAATGGGGTCATTGCATCAGCGTTTCTATAGCTCAAAATACCCAACCCTTTAATCATGTGAGCAGCACACCCAGCATGTACTCAGATGAAGTTCAAAGAAAGACTTCCCTATCTCTGGGGGAAATTGTAAGAATGTAAAGTCATCCTCCCTCGGGAACCTGGGCCAAATGCCAGTCATTTTTTTCTTCTTTCAAGACAAGGTTTTCTGTTCTGAAACTCGATCAGTAAACCAAGCTGGCTTCAGACTCACAGAGATCCACCTGCCTCTGCCTCCTAAATAATGGGATCAAAGACATGTGCCTCCACTGCCTCGCATACATACATACATACATACATACATACATACATACATACTTTTAAATCCTTCAACAGCTGAAAGTCAGAAAGTTTATTTTTTAAAAGCTGAAGTGTGAAAACCCAACTTAATGGCGGTACACATCTGTAATCCCAGCACTCAGGAGAAGGGAAATTTTTTTTTAAAAAAATTAACTAATGCATTTATTTATTGTTTTAAAGATTGATCTTGACCTGTGCAAGCTCCAGCCAGACAAAATCCCAGCACCGAGGAGGGAAGATGGGCATGAAATCTCACCACTAGCTGAGGAGCAGCTGGTATTTTCTTTTAACAAGAAAGTGGCCCCGGGTAGGCTGACCACATGCCTGAGCAGACCCCACCCCCAACAGTAGCTGGGCAACCCAAACTAGACTGGAGGGTGAAAGAAAGAAAAAGAAGAAATCTCAAAGTTACAAGGGAAGGGATGGGAAGGTGATAACAGGAGGAGCTGGGGAGGTGTGTCTGTTGAAAATACATTGTGTGGAAAACTCAAAAAAATTAATGAAAATATTACAAAAATATTTTGTTTGTTATTTTCTATGTATAAATGTTTTGTATGCATGCATGCATGTACTCTGTATACACCTGGTCCAGAAGAGAGCATTGGAGTTATGAATGGTTCTGAGCCACCCTGTGGGTGATGAAAATCAAACATGATGTCCTCTGTAAAAGCAAGAAGTCCTCCCAACCCCTGAGCCATTTCTTCAGACCCAGATTTGCTTTATTTCTTATTTTTTTAAATCACTGTTTATTGAACAAGATTACAATTTGATATATATTTCCTATTTTCGGTGGGGGGGTGGTTTCTGGGTTTGTTGTCTAATTTTTTAAAGATTTTATTTATTTATTATGTATACAACATTCTGCTTCCATGTATTTCTGCACTCCAGAAGAGGGCACCAGATCTCACAATGGATGGTTGTGAGCCACAATGTGGTTGCTGGGAATTGAACTCCGAACCTCTGGAAGAGCAGCCAGTGCTCTTAACCACTGAGCCATCTCTCCAGCCCAACTCACATATTTATTAGCTATTACAGGAATGTTTTCTAGCTCAGTTAAGTTTACATGTTAATTTCCGATTTAAAAACCATCTAAACAAAGGTAGAATTTAGTAAAACTATCTTGTGTATTTTCTAAAGCAATGAATGGAGCCAGATGTTGTCTTGCAAGCCTGTAACCCTCACTAGCATCTGAGAGGTAGAAGTTGGAAGATCAAAAATTCAAGGCAGGCTTCAGCTACATAGGGAGATCCAGGTTAACCTCAGCTAGATGAGATCCTGTTTCAAAAAAAAAAAAAAAGAAAAGAAAAGAAAAAGAAAGAAAGAAACAGAAAAAGGAGAGAAAGAAGAGAAAGAAATGGCAAAATGCTGAAAATTTGAACTTTTTTACAAAAGCAAGTTTAATATTCTTATTAAATATTAGAAAAGTTCAAAAATTCACACAAATTTGATTAATAGGTTTTCAACTCCTGCTCACCATAATAAATTTATCTGATGATGCAGTAAGCCAGATCAAGCTAAACTGAAAAATATAGCAACAGGTATATTGAGCAAAGCAACTCCTGTGTGGGTTTCTGAGGTCCCAGAGATCAAAAACAGAGAAGTTGCACCCCCAAACTGAAGTGGGGAGATTTTATAGGCTGTAGGCGAGTGATGACTTGCCTGCCACAAGACTTGAGGGGCTAGTAACTTTGGGAGAGGAAGCTGAGGGGGTAGGGAGGGAGAAAGAGAAATGGGGCTTTCAGACCGTGCAGGAGAGAGTTGGAGACACCAACTGAACGTGAATGAAGCGAATCATTCTAGAGGTTAGCATTGGAAAACTGCCTATTGGAGAGTCGGAATTTTGAAAATTATTTTCTTGTGCTTTGTTTATAATTAGTTTTGGTCGTCTAAAAACTGATTGCAAGAGAAAAATTGGGCTGGAGAGATGGCTCCGTGGTTAAGATCCTTTGCTGCTCTTCAAAAGACCTGAGTTCAGTTCCCAGCACCCCATCTGACAGCTCACAAGCGCCTGTAAGTGCAGTTGTAAGGTATCTGAGGTACTCTTCTGGCCTCTGCAGGCACCTGCATGCAACACACACACACACACACACACACACACACACACACCAAAAAAGAAAGTTAGACCCTAGCATTTTCCATCAAAATTTTCTTACACAGAGAGCACATAGTAGGTTGAATTTGGAAAGCAGTCATCATTAAGAGTGCAGCAGTAGGGAAGATTAGCATGAATGATTATGACCAACCAAGACTTTCCCCCCAGGAGCCTGTGAGGTATTCCCCAACAATGGACCAAGAAATTTCTGCCACAGAGAAATAAATGCTACTCAGAAGCATGACTTGGCAACTGTGGCAGAAGGAGGGCTGTGTTCCATCTCACCACCCAGGTTGCCACATTCCCTGAATGAAAATAGAGCTTGGATTTCTGCCCATTGTGTCCACAAAGTCAGCTCACACTCCTTAGGTGACCCATTTTTTTTTTTTTTAAGTCCACCTACCTGGCTGGGGAAAATTCAGAATACTTCTCCCTCTGCCTCATATTGATATAGGCAACATGTTTTAGCACCCTCCCCCGCCTCCGTTTTCTTTTCTATTTCAGTGAGGGGAAGGAAAGGGGATTGGTGCCTATGGCTACAATTAAGGAAATTGTTAAACAGGAAAAATAAAAAGCCTTCTAAAAAGGATATCGCCGGGCATTGGTGGTGCACGTCTTTAATCCCAGCACTCGGGAGGCAGAGGCAGGCGGGTCTCTCTGAGTTCGAGGCCAGCCTGGTCTCCAGAGTGAGTGCCAGGATAGGCTCCAAAAAGCTACACAGAGAAACCCTGTCTCAAAAGACCAAAAATAAAACAAAATAAAAAGGATATCAAAGCAATGTACTAAAAACTTGCCAGCCTGATCTCAGAAAGGTCTATATGGCTTCAAACCCTCCAGTTTTCTGTCCCTTTTGCAGAACTTGAAGAATCAACCAGTCCTTAGAACTCATAGTTGAAACTCAATAAGAATCTTTAAAAAAATATATAGCTAGGGGTGGCCTCTCGGAAAAGATAAACAAAAATTTCCCAATGAATTCCAGGAGCCTCAACTATAATTGGGAGAATCTAGAACTATAAAGCCCAAGTGCTCTCAGCACTCATTCTCCAAAGTGTCATTCGAGTGGGCTAGAGGTGCATATTAGTTCGACATGCATACCTCCTGCTCCTTTTCAAGAGAATAAATAATTACAGTGATTTATCTTTGAAATGTGCAGCTTGGTGCCAGGGCTTCAGCCTGAAGTAAATAAAATGGTGAAATATATTTAGCAAGTGATCACCCAGGCACCAGCAAAGAGATAAAAGAAGAAAAGATCTCTTCATGATTAAAGAAATACACAAACACCAAGTTCTAGCAAAAGGGAAATAACCACAGACACTGTAAATCGGAATGAGGGGTGGGGACAGTAAGTCTTCCAAGTTTTAAATGTCCACCTTGATCCTAACCCCACCCCCATCCCACCCCAGGACAGGTCTGTTGTTTTACCTTCCTTACAGTGGCTGCACTTTTACATAGCTGCTCAGTGGCTATGGGGAATTCTGTTCCTCCAGAAATGGCTCTGTTGCTGCCACTAAAGGTAGTTCTAAATCTTTATCTATCTTATAAAACTCCAGATTCAAAGGCTGGGGTGAAAACCTGCACGCTCAGAGAGTTAGAATAGTGTCTGGCTAACTTTCTCTCTTTGCTGGCATCCCAGAAACTACTCCCTTCCACATAGTCCCAACTAACAAAACCATGCTAAGCTCCTCTCTGCTACTTCTTGTCGACCAGTTGCTAACCGGATTCTTTGAGCCCAGGTTAATTTTATTTAACATAAAGCAACGAATACATCTCTACATAGTTAACAAATGCAGCATGAACAAATACAACACATCTTTGCCTAGTTACACAAATATCCCACAACACAGGTCAGTCTCTCAGGTACCTTTGGCCATCCCATTTCCTAGACAATCTCCATGTGGTAAGGGTTCAGCTAAGTGCGGGTTTAGATTGCTATGGCCTCAAGGCCAACATGAGCAGTCAAGCTAGTGGTAGCCATTTGTGGTCCCTTCCTTAGATGGCTGTCAGGGCTCTGGTAAGACTGCCACTTTCCAGCTTTTTCTTTCTTCCCACACAGATTGGGATTCTATTACTTCTTGGTATTTTGACTTTGTTCAAGAGTACAGACTGGGGACCAACTTACAAACCAGTTCCCAGTGCTGGGGATCAAACCTAGAGTTTGCACATGCTAAGCAAGTGCTCGTGAAACTGAGTTACATCTCCAGACTAAATAAATGGCTTGTTTTTGTTCGTTTGTTGTTGTTTTGCCCTCCAACTCTGTGTAGTAAAGGACGACCTTGAGCTTCTGATCCTCCAGTCTACACTTCCCCATCTTGATAAGAGGTGAGCACCACTGCACCCGACTTCAAACAAATGACTTTCAAAAAAGTAGATATTTTGGTGGTGGTGGTGGTGGAGGTGGTGTTGGTGTTGGTGTGTGTGTGTGTTTGACTTAATTCCTGGGAAAATGAGAACAAACATCTAGTCTACTCACTTCCAGCTATGGGACAGACAAAAGACTAAAGTAAGAATACCATCCAATCCAAGTCTAGTTTAATGAACCAATGAATTGATTGGAGTTACTCATCGGAGTATGGGCAAGGGGTTACTTACAGTAACATGGACATAAAGGCACCTGCACCATCCAAAAAGTCAGCCCATCACAAGGGACTATAAAGGAAAACTAGATTTCAGGAGCTTACAGGCACCTGACGCACTAAAGACTCTCTACCTCTCGGCAATTCTTACTGCTTCTATAACCTTGGGAGGGAAGAGCAGAGCACATATGCTCAGTTTCTGGCTCTTCCTGAGGCTAGTGAGGTGTTGACCTCCGGAGTCCAAACAAGCCTCTCTTCAGAACTTCCTGAGTGTTTTACTTCATTTGAGACTGGGTCTCAGTTGTAGCCCTGGCTAGTCTGGAACTTACTATGTATGTAGATCAGGCTGATCTCAAACTCAAGAGATCCTCCTGCTTCTGCCTCCTGACTGCTGGGATTGAAGGTGTGTATGCACCATCACTCTTAGTTCAGAACATCCTGAGTCTTAAAGGAATCTCTCTCCAGAGTGGGATGCTCCAATTCAGAGGAAATCACTATACAACATAATGTCCACAAACCTGTTTCTGTAGGCTACCAGGCATTTATCTGCCTGTCAGTCTATGAGTATTTCATACACACACACACACACACACTGTATGTATACATATGTTCATATACTTAAATACAGCCTGATGCTCCTAGAACCATAAGAAAAAAAAATAAGCTAAATATATGAAGCCACTAGCAGTAGGTCCAAGATCTAACACTAATGCACAAAGTGACTTAGTGGAGCCCATTCTATATGGAGGGATACCTTGCTCAACCTAGACACAGGAGAGTTGGGGGTGGACAGGTGCCTGGGTCCTGCCTCAAGAAAATGATGGCATAGACTTAGTAGACTTCCTAGGGGAGGCCTTACCCTCTCCAAAGAGCAGATGGGAGGTGGAATGGAGTTGGGGGGGAGTGGGTAGGAGACGAAGGAAGGGGAACTGGGATTGGAATGTAAAAAAATTAATAAATTAAAAAAGAATGAGAGAAAATGATGCAGTTGCAAAATTAAGAGAAGCATAATCTGTAACAATGATGAAAAGCAGTGGACAACTAACATATAATGTTATCAGACGCAAATATCAGGTGCTATGACAGTTGATATCCTATGGTTCTGTATGATGAGCAGCTAGTAGGTTAATTTCTATCTAATCTAAATACATTGTGCTACATCATGGCTACAAACACTAGGTGATCGGAGTCTTTTAGGTCCATCACATTCGAATGGGACCACACTCAGATGTTGAGTGAAATATCCTTGTGTATGACTGGCGGTGGTATACACACTAATCCTGGCACTCAGGAAACAGGAGGATCTCAGAGTTCAAGGACAGCTTGGTCTACAGAGAGAGTTCCAGGCCATCCAGGAAACCCTGTTTTTCTTGGGGGGGGGGCGGGGGAGAAATAGCCTCATGTGACACAAACAGCACTTGGAGACCCTCTTCTCATGTTCTTTATTTTTATCTTCTGTGATTGGTGTTGACCTCAAACATACTATGTAACAGAAGATAATCTTGAACTTGGGATCCTCCTGTTTCCGCCTCCTATGTGCTCAGATGGTAGACATGCATTTTAAAAAGTGTGTGTGTGTGTGTGTGTGTGTGTGTGCTAATGATCAAACCCAGGGCTTGGTGCATGCTGTGAAAGTACCGTGCCAACTGAGCTACATCTCCAGCACTTTACATCCTTTTAAATTTCATTGTCACGTGTATGTTCTTGCCTCTTACCCTGTCTCTCTAGCCTCTCGAGCTTGGATATTTAATTTTTGAAGAAACTAGGACCAGATCCTACAGTTTCACAAGCTTTTGTCCCCGAGGTGTTCTAAGAAACAGAAATAAACACACACCCAGGCTCTTTTCTGTTTTGCTGATACCTTAATGCTGGTGCTATTTGCTGCATCTTCAGGCTAATACAATTTTCAAGGTCGATATTCAGGTAGTTGGGTTGAAGGTCTAATCATGCTCTTAAATTGCACGTCAGTATTTCAGAGCAGAATTGGGAGGACCTGTGATAAAAAGAAAAGGCTAAGTAAGGGCTGGATGTAGCTCGGCAGTAGTGTTTGGCATGCACAAAGTTCGGTGTTGGGATCAAATCCTGAGGTGGGGGTGGGGGCATAGAAGAGCTTACAGGTTAGCATGGGGGGGCAAGTAGTGAGTTTTTGGATTGCTCATAGTAATTCTAAAATTCACATTAATTTTCATTTCCATCAGGTGGAGCAACAGTGAGGAATCTCCGAAGCCATTTTTTTGTGTGTGTGTCTGTTTTCATGGGTGCATGGAGGTGAAAGACCCCAACTCAAGCCTAGCCTGATACCCACCAGCTTGTATTTAAAAATCACTCTGGCCACTTACAGCTCTGGGACAAAGAACACATGAAATGGTGGGTCATGATGACTAGTCTCTGGAAATTGTTATTATTACTAGTTTCTATTATCTTCAACAACTGTCTGGTTTCTAAAATTTTTTGAGGGTTCCCCTGCTCCAGAGCACCCAAGTTTTGAAAATAAGTATAAGTCACTCTGTTCCCAGAAAAACCACTAGCTGTCCCATGGCTCTGCAGGTGTAAAAACCAAAATAACATTCCAAACCCCTCGTGGGCAAAATTGTAAGTTCAGTTCCCAGCTAATCAGTAAATGACTCATGTATGTTATAGCCAATCAATATGTTGTCATTCTCCTGCCTAGTGATCAAAAAGACACAAAAACTGCCTGCTTTGGAAACTCGGGGCTGCTCTCTTCCCAGGGAACGACCCCAAAGCGGTGGAATAAAATCCTTTTGCTTTTGCATCAAACTTGTATCCTGTGAGTGACTGTGGGGTGCGTCTCCCGGAATTGGACTTTTGGGTCCAACAGAGGCTGACATTGTGTGCTGGTAAAGGCTCAGGAAGGAGCTTTTCCTTGTTCACTTTCCCTGTGCCTTCCATCTTCATGGTGTGATGTGATGTTAACGCACCAGCCATCATATCTGTGTTGTGGGAACAGCCAAAACAGGCAACGAGCACTCTGGAAGGGTCTTTTAAGGACGTTTCTCTGGAAGCTGTCCAGCAATTCTTCTCCTTGGTCACTGACCAGGACTTATTTTCATGGCCTCTGGAAACTAAAAGGAAACTCGGGGCAATGTGGGCTTTTTCCTTGGCTTTGTGTCTAAACACGGTGCTTAGATTTCTATGGAAGAAATGGACAGGCGGAGACAGCCAACAGTCTGGGCAATGTTATTTTCTAAACAACTGGGGGCTAAATAAATAAAATCCAGATCAAAATGTCTATATTTATTTGATGATGACAGAGGATAAAGTTGCTACTTCGGTGCGGGAGGACTGATGTGCTTGTCTGAATTCCGTGAAAGCACAGTCCTCTCAGGCTCATCCTAAGCCACTTTTCCCCAGAGATGGCCGGCTAGGCGGAGCACCCCTACTCCAGGAGCCCAGAGAACCAGTCAGCCGAGGCAGTCACAGTAGGCAGACTCTTCCGAGCAGCTGCCAGCTTGCCATTGTCCCTAACAGACATGTCTCTGTTTCTTTGTTCTGTTGGACTCCAAGTACCCACCCGAGGACTGCCTCCCCTTGTCAAGTTCAGAAGCCTCTATGAGGTTCTCCCTGCTTGTCTGCTCAAATGTCCCTTTGTTTGGAAAGAATCTTCCCCCTTCCTCTGTCCTTGCCCTTTCCTCGCAACCACAGCCTCAAGAATGTGCTCTTTGCACACAACACTATCCAGCAAGAGGGCTTCAAGGGGCAGCTCCTGCACTTGCTTAAGGAGAGGTTTTGTTTGCTGCTGTTCCTGCTGCTCCCCCTGCTCCTCCTCCTCCCCCTGCTCCTCCTCTAACTCCTTACTTCTAGCAAAAATACTTGATCAGGAAGACAGGTTTTTCTCAAGTTGTTAGACCCCCGAAAACTCAAGTATCCGGGGTCCCAGGCCATGTTCTCGGTCACCCCAATCACCAGGCGGATTCGAGAGCTTGCTGCGAACTCCACGAGGCTTCATTGTAATTTAACGAGCTAACCCCATGTTAGCTCGGGTCTTTCACCCACCCACCATGGCGGATGGCTAGGAAAAGACCGCTCCTAGGGGCTCCCGAGAGATCTTATAGGACAGTGTAAGGGGAGTGTCTAGGGGTACGCACAGGCTCAGGATTGGTGTGCCTCCAGGCTTGGAGGGCTTGCCCTGTGTTGATTGGTCAACTGGTTGTTATGGCCCATAGGCCCTCCCAGGGTGGTTGCTATGCTCTCTATGTCAGTGCTGTGTGCTTGTCTGTAAAGCACACCCAGGGTCGTAAAGCATAGCGCCACCAGCTAACTTCTGATTGGTTCCTTGTCACAAGGCAGGCATCTGACTTTCTAGTGTCTAGGACAAGGTCATAGAAGCACGTGTTCGGCTGTTATGGCTGCCAAAAGGGAAGCTGGTCCCTTCAAAGTGACTTTCATATCAGGTCTCTAAATGTCAGGGAGCCTAGATTAAAGGTCTTAAAGCTGGGTGTGGTACAACATACTTCTAATCCCAGCACTCAGGAGGCTGGGTGGGACAGGAGGACCATGATTTGGAAGTCAGCCTGAGTGCAGGGCAAGATCTTGTCTCAAAAGGAAAAAACTTCCCCCGACTCCAACCCACCAATCATACAAACAAAGGTATTAAAAAAAGAAAACAACAACAAAAAAATTCTAAACTTCCATTGAACCTAAAATGTTCCCTGAGATCTGTATTTGGGACGGCGATATTCTATTTACAAGTACTTTAATCTCATAACTATGTATTAGACAGAACTTGCTCTAAAAGTGGTGCACATTTTTCTTCCTGGATTAGGTTTTAATTCTACAGCAAGTGACAATTCAATAGGACCTAGGGGCTCAAGACACTGCTAAAAATGGCTGTCTAGTAGTATAGTTGGTCTGTTTGTAAGGCTCCTAGCAGTGAGACCAGAACCTGTCCCTGGTGCTTAGCTGGCTTTTGGGAACCTGTGCCCCATGCTGGATTACCCTGCCCAGCCTTTGGGGGAGAGGGGCTCAGTCCTGCCTCAACTTGATGTACCATGCTATTTTCAAGCCCATGGAAGACCTGTCCCTTTCTGAATGGAGATAGAGGAGGAGGGAGAGGATGTGGAGGGGGGAGGTTAGATGGAAAGCAGAGGCAGGGGGGGGGGGGGGGGGGGGGGGAGGGGAAACTGTGGTCGGTATGTAAAATAAAAGAAAAAACTTTAATTAACAATGGCTGTCCATGGAGGTGAGGCTTTAGTTAAGTTGACAGCATGTTTGTGTAGCAGGCATAAAACCCTGGGTTGGTCCCTAGCACCCCATAAAACAAACATGGTCACATGGGCTGTATCCCTAGTACTTGGCAGGTGTGGACAAGAACATCAGAAGTTGAAGGTCATTTTCAGATGTGTGAGTTTTAGATCACCTAAGATAAATGAGAACTTGTGAGCAGGAGTTGGGGGAAAGATGTTGGCGGGGATGAGGAGGAGGGTAGAGTTGCATATACATCATTAAGGAACTGAGACACTGGTAACTCTTTGTCCCAGCCACATTAAACTGTTTTGCCCTTGAAAATGCCTATGAGACAAGATTCAAACCTGATAATAACCATTGAACTGGCCTAATGTGAAAACAGAAAGGGGCCCTATGGCTCTGAGACTCACTAGAGACAATGTGGAAAGAGCAAGGATTCAGAATTCTACCACATTTTGGGTCTCCTCACTTACCCCCACACACATTAAATCCCACCAGGTCTTCACTTACCAACTGATGTCTCCAGTTTATCTGACCCCTTCTGATCTGAAAAGAAGAGGAAGAAACCAATGTGGACTCATTAATAACTTATTGGATAAAACAAACTTGAAAAATAAGGTCTTTTTCTTTTCTTTCTTTCTTTTTTTTTTTTGAGTCAGGGTTTCCTTGCATAACAGCCCTGGCTATCCTGGAACTCCCTCTGTTGACCAGGCTGTCCTTGAACTCAGAGATCTGCCTGCCTCTGCTTCCTGAGTACTGGGATTAAAGGTGTGAGACACCACCGCCCATCAACAAGATATTTATTTATTTTGATAGTGTGCAATTTCCAGAAAATTTTGTGATCTCAAAAGTCAGTTTGGAGTAGGTTAAAAAAAAAAAAAGAGTGTTTATATTCACAAAGAGTATGGATCGGAGAGTCAATTCAACATGGAAAGAATATCTTTAATCAAAGCATTGTTGTATTTAAGATGATATCAACAGAGCTGGCTGAGGTGGCAATGCTGGTGATCCTAACACCTGGGAGGCTGAAGCAGGAGGGTCATGAGTTTAAGGCCAACCTGGGCTATACAGCAAGATCCTGTTTCACAACAGAAACAAACACAATCACAGACATAAAACCAAAAGGACTGGAGCAGCTGTGTGATGCAGGGGCAGTCGAAGGCTGGACTGACAAGTAGAGAGGAAGGGAACCCCAAGGGGAGGACCTTTGTGTCCAGACCTACGCTTCATTTCTTCTCCAGCCAGAACAGGGACAATCTGTTCTCAGCTTTGGCCTGAGGATTATTTTCTGGAGACTACAAATCCAAATCAAAGACACTGACGAACTGATTCAATCCCAAGGAATATGGGGGTCATTTGAGATCATTTGTCCTCTTCAACATTTACTTGTTATTTCAGGCTAAGAGGGGACAATTTTGCACGCTGTTCTTTGTCCTGCACCAAAAGGACTAACTAACTATGTCATCTAGTCACAGTAGAAGAGCCAACCTCTATAGTAACAGACTTCGGTGGCAGTCACACATAAATTACCTTGCCACACCTGAAAGCAGAATGTTATTGATAATTTTTACGATTATAATATGATAATTTTTACATGACAATATAAAAATAATATGATCATTTTTTACATCTTCTCGGTGATAGAAATTTCTTATTTTTTCTATGTAGAATAAAAATATTAAGTCAGGTTACATTTTAAATGGCTAAGCTGGGTGTGTCAGAATTGCTAGTGTTTAAAAAATGTGAACAACATTCTTAATATAGCTATTTGTGACTAACCAGTGGGTGTGACACCCAGGGGAAAACAATAAACTCACTCACTGTATCTGGAAACTCAAGAGTTTATTTTTCTTTCCTTTTCAAGTTAGATTTCAGGACATTACTTTTTTTAAACAAGACATAATTTAAGGACTTACCCAAAATTCCTCCTTTGAACAAGCTGCTGCTGATGGGAAAACTAGGCATTTGAAGGCTGTTAAATGACACAAGAAGCTCAACAAACAAATCAGAAAAATGCAATCCATGCCTTCCTCTAAAATCCCTGTCTTTGAAATCAAATCTTATTTTATTGACCGGTAATTGTTACGGGAATGCATGATAAAAGTAATGGATTTCACGAGCAACCTTGGCATTGTATAAAAACTGATCTGTCAATTCCATCAGTGCAATGATATCCTAATCTGTTGCACATTCTATATGCCAAGCCCGTGCTAAACATTACAGCAGTGTCAGATTGACTCCTCAGAACAAATTGTTATAAAGATCTTTATAGGTGAGGCCACAAAGAGTTGGAGAACTAAAAAAAAGTCTGGCTAAAAAGCAAGGGGTGGATCTAAGGTTAAAACTTGAACTGAGCAGGGCAAAAACCAGCAGGGCTGGATTCTCAGTGAAGGGCTTTAACAGGCCCAAGCATTGGAAAGCATGGTGACAGCAGGTTTTGTCTTTTACCCTTCTCCACCTTGATAAAAACTGTTAGATTATATTCTAAAGCTAGCCCCCAAGGTCCATTCCCTCATTTGGCCTCTTTCTCCAGCTGAGGCTGACTACCAAGGTCCAGCTATCAAAGTATTGAAGTCCAGCAATCAAAGGCCCCCTTTTGCCTTACCTAATTAACATGCTCAATCAAAACAAACCAACTCATCCTAACACAGGGTTTCTCCCTTTCCCTTTATAAACTACAGTTTGCCTATGGGTCATGTCTGTCTCCTCTCTATGTAGTGTCAGTCTTTTGTTCCCTCTCTGGGGCAAATATCCCTTCCCCCTCTCTCTTTCCCCCTTTCTCCCCTCTCCCTTGTTCCTTTTCCCTTCTCCCTCATCTTCTGTCTCCTGTCTTTGCCTCTTATTCTCTGTTCTCTGTCCCTCTGGGGCAAATAAACCGCCTTTGTGCTGAGAACTTGGTCTTTGTGCATCCTGTGCTGACTCTTGTCCTTTCTGACTCTCAGTACTGGAGAGGAGGAACAGGAATGCCATGAGTTCAAGACCAGCATGGGCTACATAGTGAATTTGAGGCTATCCTTGGCTAAATAGTGAGACCTTATCTAAAAGCAACCAAGCAAGCAACCAAAAACACCCACTTCTTCAGAAAACTCATTTTTAAAAGGAATTTTGTTTTTTAAAAATTTATTAATTTTTATTTTATATGCATTGGTGCTTTACCATGGGTGTCAGGTCCCCTGGAACTGGAATTACAGACTGTTGTAATGAGTTGCCATGTGGGTGCTGGGAATTGAACCCAGGTCCTCTGAAAGAGCAGTCAGCACTCTTAACTACTGAATCATCGCTCCAGCCGCCCCCCCCCCCAAAAAAACCTCTTATACTATGTAATTAGTAATGCCAGTTCTGTGTTGCCTCATGGGTGCATGTTCTATACTGTGGATTTTACAAGTGTGCTTACTTCTGTGTTGGGGGATATTCGATCACATTGTGACCCCTAAGTTTGCATTTGCATTAATAAAGTAAAATTTACTTTGGGTCAGGAGGCTGCATTAGCAACTAGTTGACAGAAAGTAATCAGAATCTCAAAGGGCATCCAGGAGAGATAGAGAGTCACAGGAAGTAGTAGGGTGGGGGTTGGAGTGGCACGGGTTTTTCTAGCTTGGCAAATTGGAAACACCTGTCTTCATAGACGCCAGCAAGGAGAGAGAGGGTTAGCTAGTTGGTACTCAGTCTCTCTGAGCTTGCAGGTTTTCACCACAGCCTTTGAATCTCCAGTCTTAGTCATAATTAGAATAATAGAGATTTAGGTAAAGCTACCATTAGCAGCAGTGACAGAGCCAGGAGCAGAACTCTCACCAGGCTACTGCTATAGAAGCAGACCAGTCACTATGGAGTTGCAATTGTTGGCTGAGAAGCACTAGATTAAGGTACAGTCACTGTACTGAAGTTAAAAGCAAGACTTCTGTGTGTACTTCTGTAGCGGGGAGATTGCAGAGCTTGAGACAAATATTTTTTAAATTTGTTTTAAATTATGTGTGGGTATGTTTATCTGTATGGGAGTATGTGCACATGAGTTCAGGTAGAAAGGTGTCAGGTGCCCTGGAACTGGAGTTGTGGGCAGTTGTGAGCAACTATGTAAGTGGTTGTGAGCCACCAAGTGAGTTCAAGGAATTGAACCTATGCCCTCTGGAAGAAAAACCAGTGCTCTTAACCATTAAGCCATTTCTTCAGCCCCAACAGGCAAATACTCTTTTCATTATTGTTGTTATTGCCTTCTTTTCTTTGAGATGGGTATGATTTTCTATAGCCTGGCTGGCCTGGAATTCACTGTGTAACTCAGGCCTCTGAGTGATGAGATTTACACACTTTCACCAGGCCTGGTTTATCTTTTTCCTTTTCAAAATTTTATTTTATGTGCATTGATGTTTTGCCTGCGTGTATGTGGGGAGGATGCCAGATCCCCTGGAACTGGAGTTACAGACAGTTGTGAGCTGCCATGTGAGTGTTAAGAATCGAACCCGGGTCCTCTGGAAGAGCAGCCAGTTCTAGTAGGGGAAGCTGTAGCCACACCTACTTAGGGGCTGGCTACAGGTGTGCCTGACCACGCTTGCAAGGGCGTGGTCAGGGTGACGTAGAGTGAGACTTTCAGGGGACTGAGTTTTTCTCTTTCGGTTTCACTTTTGTACTTGTGGTACAGACTGCTGCCACGCCGGCTAGCTAGGGTGCTCTGTAAATAAGGCTTTTCCCTATTAAATACCCTTATATTTCTACCTGACTCCGTATTGGTAATTTCCCACTATAAGTTCTCTTAACCACTGAGCCATCTCTCCAGCCCCTCATCTTTTTTCTTAATAATCCATTTTAAAATATAACTTTAAAAATTACCTTTTCCCAGGCGGTGGAGGCAAACAACTTTAATCCCAGCATTCAGGAGGCAGAGGCAGGTGGATCTCTGTGAGTTTGAGGCCAGCCTGGTCTATTGGGTGAGTTCCAGGACAGCTAGGGCTGTTACACAGAGAAACCCTGTCTCAGAAAAACAAAACAAAAGTTACCTTCTATCAGGTGTGGTGGAGCACACCTTTAGTTCCAGCACTTGAGAGACAGACACAAAGGAATTATTATCTCCATTGAGTTCCAGGCCAACCTGGCCTACAAAGTTAGTTCCAGGTTATCCAGGGAAGTAGTGAGACCCTGTCTGGGGGTAATAGTACCTCTTCAGATAACTGACAATCTCACTACACTATAGATAGCAATGAATGAAATGGCCCAAAGCACAGCCTAACCCCAAAGATAAATTTGAGATTGGAATTGCTCATGCACATGGTAAAACCTTCCAAGATAGAAATGACTCATAAGTGACTTGAAGGTTTTCCCCCCTGGGCTTCTGAATTTTGGCACTAGCTAGTCTAGAAGGGAGAAAGGGGGAAGACAAAAGCAATAGCAGAAAGCCTGACCCATATTGTGTGAAGTCTTTTTTTATTCTTCCTTGTATTGCTGAAGTTCTGGGGCCTGGGGCCTCCCACATAGAGCAGGATGTCCTTCCAGAGTCTGATAATTCTTTTGTTGTTGTTGTTTATCAAGACAGAGTTTCTTTGTGTAACTTTGGAGCCTGTTATGGAACTGGCTCTGTAGACCCGGCTGGACTTGAACTCATAGAGATTGGCCTGCCTCTGCTTCCTGAGTGCTGGGATTAAAGACGTGCTCTACCACTGCCTGACCAGTTTGCTAGTTTTTAGGGGTTCCACACTGCTGGCTTTACCTAAACCAGTCAATACTCAGCCTGCTTCCCTTCTTTCTGTGCAAACCACACCTTCCCTGTACTTCCTCTGCCTGCTGACTGACCTTGAGACTTCTGCAATGGGCCACCTAGGACCAGGCAGGACTCCTGTCACAGGGATCTGTAGTGTGGAATCTTCTTTTACAGCAGTCGTGTGTGTGTGTGTGTGTGTGTGTGTGTGTGTGTGTGTGTGTGTGTGTGTGTACAGTAAACATGGTTAAAATGCATCCAAGGCACGTTTTTACCACATACCCTAAAAGAGAATGCTCAAGGATACAATGTACAGAATCAGGTGTGAATTTTTCCATTGGATTTTGAGGTCATTCACTTATTCAGTGAATGGAAAGTGAGTGCACATAAAATTCTAGAGATGCTCTGTTACTCATGATTCCCATTTCACGCTGGTGAGCACCCAGTGCTGACCCTGGTCAGAGATGACTGATAGGGGACAGTGCTGATCCCAACTGATTCATTTCCTGTGTCCCAGTCACAGACCCTCACTGCCCAGGGCAGTCAGTCTGCTCACACTGGGATGTCACTCCACACATCTCTATGTCGACTTTAGTCTGTGAGCAATATTAATGTCTATCACCTATGATTCTATTTCAGTCTGTCTGTCTGTCTGCCTGTCCTTCTTTCCTTCCTTCCTTCCTTTCTTTCTTTCTTTCTTTCTTTCTTTCTTTCTTTCTTTCTCTTTCACTAGGCTCTCATTATCTAGTCCTGGCTGGCCTAAACTTCACTATGTAGATGAGGCTAGTCTCAAACTCACAGAGGTCTACTAGCCTCTGCCCCCCAAGTGTTGATATTAAACTTTGTGTGTGCCACTATGCCCATTCACTTGTATCATTTTTTTAAATGCTGCAGACAACAATCATTCCCTTCCGGGTACTCTGATAAAAAGTCTAGGAATACTGAAATTTATGTTAATGGAAATTCAGTTTAGCCAGCTTGGTTCACAATGGCCTTGTGTCCAATTATAGAAAATTAATAGATGTATGCTTTCTGCCTCTACAGCTAAACTATCTTGAGATTCCATTTTACCCCAGTCAGAAAGGCTGCCATTAATAAATCACAAACAAACAAACAAACAAAACAAAACAAAACAAAAGCTGGCCATAGTGGCCCATGCCTTTGCTTCCAGCACTCAGGAGGCAAAGACAGGCAGATCACATAGTTCAAGGCTAGCTGGTCTACATAATAAGTTCAGAATAGCCAGGACTGAATAGAAAGACTCTCTCTCTCTCTCTCTCTCTCTCTCTCTCTCTCTCTCTCTCACACACACACACACACACACACACACACACACCCCAAATCAAACACACTCTGGCCAGAGTGGAGGTGGCAGACCTAGTACACAGCTAGTGGGAATGTAAATTAGTCACAGGTACTATGGAAATAAACAATAGAAGCTACACACACACACCCCTAAAAATAGAGTTATCATATAGTGTACTACTCCTGGGTATTTACCAGAGAAGTCTAGGTCAGCAACCACAAAGACACATTCCAGACGTGTTTACTGCTGTATTTTCCCCCAACAGCTAAGGAGAGGGGCCAGCCTAGGCATTTAACAGTAGATGAGTAGATACTGAAAATTCGGTATACATGCACAATGGAGTTTTATTCAACCATATCTAAACAAAATTATGCCATTTGCAGGAAAAAGATGAAGCTGGGTCCAAAGGTGGAAGGGGCAGTATAAGGGAAGAGGAAGGGAATGGGATACACAATTTTGAAAATGTCGTTATGAAATACATCATTTTGTGCTATGAATATGCTACTAAAAATTTTAGAGCTTGGAGCATTAAAATTTACTTCATATGAATAATTAGCATGTGTATGAGGTGCATAGCCTGCACCTGATTTGTTCATTGACTAATTGAAACTGTGCCTAAAAATGAAAAACAGGCTGTATAGAGCTGAAGAGATGGTTCAGCAACTAAGATCACTTGTTGCTCTTACAGAGGACCTGGGTTTGGTTCCTAGTGCCTATGTGACAGTTTATAAACTGTATTTCCAGTTCTGTGGGATTCATGGCTTCCTCCTGGACTGGCACCAGGCACCCAGGCAGTGTTCTTACATACGTTCAGACAAGCATGAATAGATATAAAACAAATGACTAAAAGTGGAAAACAAAAGAAGCTAATCAAAGTCCCCAAGCTCCAACCTACTACTGAGGAGGATTAAAAAAGCTTCTTGTGTAGGAATCTTGCAAGTGACCATGATAATATCTGTCTCTTAATGCTTGACTATATAAATATATATATATATATATATATATATATATATAATCAAATATATATGCATATATATGTACCTTTAACTTCATAACCATCTTCAAAGTACGAAAAGAAAATGTTTAATTGAAACAAAGATCAATGAAGCCAGAGAAGGCTTTTATCATAGAATTAGAACAATGCTCCTGAAAAGGTACCTTAGTGATGAGTGAGTCTGTTTAATGGAAGATTATTTATTAAAGATTTAAAGGGGGGAGGTTAACTTTCTGTCTGTTAACATTGGAGGTTAACATTGCCTTAATCTCCTAAATACAGTTATTCAAAAATACCAGGATTATCTAAGCAAATAAATTTACCTTAAATTTACCAGTAGGTGGCACTGTGTAAATATACTGATAACATTTCCACAGAGTTCTGAGCCGGACTGGAAAACGAGATATATCATCTTGAAGCGGAGCTTTCGATGTAAAGAATATTTCTACGACTCTAGATAATTGAGTGGGGCCCAAGGATCAAATGAAAATAAAAGACCAATGTTAATGATCAATGTCTCCTAAGTTTTATGATTGTATTGAGGGATTCAATCACTGTCTTAGTTTCAAGGCTGGGGAGTTCCTTGAGCCGCACTTACAAATTCTGTTTAAGATCTTAAATTGTTTCGATTAAAATACTTTTGAAGAAAATAGGAAAAAAAAACACGAAAATATTTCCAATTCTGTGTCTTCAGAACAATGGTACCTTCTCGGAGTTAACGGAAGGGTTGCATGGTAACAAGTTAAACTTTGGAGACAAAAAAAAAAAAAAAAAAGAAAAAAAGAAAAAGAAAAAAAAGAAGGAAGGAAGGAAGGAAGGACGGAAGGAAGGAAAGAGAAAAAAAAGAGAAGAAGGGACTGGAGGGTGGGGACAGAGGAGAAAGAGGTGAACTTGCTTTTCCCTTCTGTGGAAAAGTACTTTTGCAAAAAGTTAGTTGATAACCAGCCCGCCGCGACGGGCCTCCTCCCGCCAGGCAGGGGTAGCAGCTGGCCGAGGTCTGCAGTCCCCTGCCGTGCACAGGTCCCCGGAGACTAGGTGACCTCACTGGTGGAAACTAGGCTTGCAGCTGTAACCAAGGCTGTAACTGCATTTTTTTCCAACTGGAAATCAGAATACTAGTTTTTCAAGGGATCTGGGCCTAAAAAACCTGATACCTTGGGAAAAAGAACAAAATTAGCACTTATACCAGGAGTGGGGTTCGAACCCACGCAGACATACGTCCATTGGATCTTAAGTCCAACGCCTTAACCACTCGGCCATCCTGGTCCCGGCGTGCACTGTTGCTTCTGCTTTTCCTACAAAGCTTACACTACCGTTCTCTTTCCTTGTTTTTAAAAAGGATACTCCAGTGCGAGCCGGCTGGCGCTCTCGGCTTTCCCGGCCCAGCTACCGAAGCTCGATGGCTGCCTCCAGGATTTCGCGTCGCGGCAGCCGCTCGCTGTCGCCCCGAGCTCCTGGCGGCGACGGAGGAACTGCAACTGCAGGAACAGCGCGCGGGGCCGCGCTTGGAGCGGGCGAGCGGGCGGGCGGCCCCGCTGGCTTTGCTTGCACATTGGAGGTGCGCGGGCGCCGCACACAAACCCCACACTTAACTTCTGGGCTCCAGAGCAGACGTGTGACCGAGTCCCTCGGGTGGCGTGTGGACGGGGTCGCAGGGCAAACTTCAGTTTGTTTCTTCCTAATCGAATGAGGTGCTGGGGCCCTGCACCTGTGCGCCGCTTGCCTTTCCCGCCCGTGGGGCAAGACACACCGGAAGGAGCCTCTGGAGAAAGCTGTGTGGGCAAGGCAGTGTGGCCCACTTCCTAATTTTCCTCCCTGGTGGCTGCAGGGACTGACCCCTTTGCTCTGCCTCAAATGCAGAGTCAAGGCCTCCCGGGTTCCTGCCATCCTACCTCTCACCTAGAGGGCTCTGCTCCCTTGATTTTAACTTGTTCAGTGTTCTACTTTCGTTTTTGTTGCCGTGATAAAACACCATCAGCAAAAGGCAATTTAGGGGACAGGGGCTTATTTACATTACATTGGCCGTCACCCAATACCCCAGGACCCAGGCTAGGTGTTCTGCAGAGGCAGACAGGGGGCTGGTGGCTGAGCCTTGCACTGTCCATCCCACATTGTTCCCCCAAGGCCCTGTTCATCATACAGGGACGGTGACTTCTGTCTTTGACTGTGAATTTACATAGATCTGTTTCTGCCTCCTGAGCCACCAGAATGTGGTTTCTACTATGATCTGTACATCCTTCAAAGTTTGGGTCCTGGTACTCTGACTAGGAGAGGAGATAGAATAAAGAAAGGACAGACCAATGGGCACACACACAATGAAACTGGGATCCCGGTGGGGTTCTTTAACTGAACTGAAATGTGTTTATTAGGTACAGCAGAAGAGAAGGGGTTAACTAATCCTGGTAGGTGATGCCTGCAGGTGAGAAGTCCCCTAGTCTTTGCACACACTGGTCAGCTGCCCATTAACACAGTCATGCCTCTGAGAAAAACTTTGCCTTTCTCTTGAGCCTGAGCCACATGGGTAATGGCTTTGCCAAATTGTTCCCTGGGTCAGAGGCCTTGAAGTCCTTGACATGGCCGAATCCATGTCAAAATGCACATTCACTCTGGACTTCAGTCAGGCCTTCCTCTGCCCCCTATAGCTGAGCATATGTGAAGTCAATCAATTCTGTGTCCTGCTCTGGGTCTCCTCTGACAGATGCCGCAAAGAGACATGTGGACTGAAGTTCCCACAGACAAAAGAAAAGCTACATCCATGTTAAAGATTCTATATGGCTAATTGAATGATTATCCTGAGCTATTTTTTAGCCCCTTTACTAGCTGCTCATTGCCCACCTCTGTGTTGGACCTAATGTTCTTGTGACCGTGAGGAAATCCTTTTGAAAGACACTGAGACCACTAGACTCCACCAGCTCAAGAGCTAAGAATATCGTCAGATATCATCTGAAGCAAATAGCAAAGAATCCGGTCTTTGTAGCAACACTCTACCTGCTATTCCCATCAGTGTTTTTGAAAAGCATCTGGTTTATGGTTTTCTTTTGTTCTCTAATTAAAAACAAAACAAAACACTTCACAAAACTCTTACCACATCAGAGCATGATATTCAAAGTAATGCAAGTTTGTGTTCCCGGGCTGTGACCATTCAGATTTGGCTCCAGAGTAAACTCTCCTATTCCCTTTGAAGTGCGTGCTGTGTTTTTGCATCCATACATATAAGGTTACTGGGGCAAGGAACAAGAAGCAGAAAGGATTAAGTTTTGTGGTGTGCATCTATGATCCCAGTGTAGTCATGATCTATACCACAGCATTACCACCTGAATAGCATAAGAAACAATGATCTTGTAAGGTAGAACGGAGCTGATGACATTTCTGATGACCGAGTACAGGGCGGCTGCTGTGGTGCAGCATGGGATTCCTACATTTGTAGTGATGCAGGTGTGAACAGACCCTCTCTGGCTTGGCCAGTTGTACAACTGACTCCTCTAATTACTGCAGCATTAATAAAAATGATAAATGGCTGTGTTACAGCTTTGTGTTTTTATTACTTTTTTGTATGTAAGTACTCAGGGTTTCAGTGTATGGCTTTGACTTTCTTCTTTTTTTTATTGATGTTAAATTAACATACAAAGCAATGAATTTCATCCTGGCATTCTCATAGAGCTCATCCCTCTTCCCAATGGTCCCTCCCTTGTGACACATGAACCTCCACTTTGGGTTCTCATTCTTACCCCAGGTAGTTCCCCCTTCTGTTTCATGTCAGATGTATTTTATGATCCTTTCTTTTTCCGTCTCCCTCCACTAAAATCTCTTCTTCATCTCTCATGGTTCCCTTTCTACTTCTCTCTCTCTTTCATACACACACACACACACACACACACACACACACACACACACACACACACCACAGACACAGGGTGGGGAGAATTTAAATCTAGAGTCTGCACATCACAGAAAGAATGTGTATTTGTCTTTGTAAATCTGGCTTATTTCACTTAACATAATGTTCTCCAGTATGCTAGTTGGCTTTTCTGTTTTTGGTTTTCATTTGTTTGTTTGTTTGTTTGTTTTTGTCATCTTGGACGCAAGCTGAGTCATCTGGGGAGAGAACAAGATTTGAGGAAAATTTCTCCATCAGATTGACCTGTAGACAAGTGTGTGGGGAGTTGTATTGATTAATGATTGATGGGAGAGGGCTTTACCCCACGGTGGGTGGTAACACCCCTGGTCAAGTGGTCCTGGGCTGTACAAAAAAGCAAACTGAAGGAGCAGTGAGAACAAGCCAGTAAGCAATGTTCCTCCATGGTTTCTGTTTCAGTTTTTGTCTCCAGGTTCCTGTCTTGAGTTCCTGCCCTGACTCCTCTTGGCGATGAACTGTGACTTCTAAACCACACAAACCGTTTCTTCACTAAGTAGCTTCTGGCAGGGGTTATTACAGCAATGTGTTAAATCCAAAGCGGGCCCCCGAAATGGCAGTGCTTCTGACAATGTCCTACATGATGGTCTGGGCTCAGTTCAGGGTGGACTCTGACTGGGTAAACAGAAGGACTGGTAACCAATAAACAAAAATCTAAATTCAGCATTCCCCAGAAATCTTGCCATTCGGGTTTGTTTGCCAGTTGCTTCCAGCCAGCAAGATGTTAGGTTCAAAGTGAACCCCCAAAATGGGAGTGCTGTTTTGTTTTGTTTCTTTACTATTGTTTTTGAGAAAGGGCCTCATGTAGCGCAACCTGACTTTAAATTCTCTAATATAGTTAAGGATGAACTTAAAGTTCTGGTCTACCTCTCATGTGTGGGTATTACAGGCCTGTGCCATTTAATGTGCAATTTAATGAGGTATTGGGGATCAACTCAAGCCTTTGCTGTAAGCTAGGAAGCACTCTACCAAGTGAGCTACATCCCTGGTTCTTAAAGTCATCCCCCCCCCAACCCCACACAGATTAAAAGGAGAGCAGTTTGCAATCAGAGGGAAATGGGTGTGGCTTGGGGGCCAGCTGCCTACTTGTGCAGACAACTCAGAAGGCATCTTGTGTGATTCTGGGACGCTGTTCTGGTTTCCTGTTATCCATATTAAGGAGGTGTGAGGTCATCTGTGGTCAGTCTTCTCTCTACCAGGGCTTGGAAACGGTCAGGAAAAAGCAGCCAAGCATGAAATGAACAAAATCACCTACAAAGAGGAACGGATAAAGGACGGTATCCGGGGCCACCATGTACACAGGGAGGCAAACTCATTATAAGGAGGCAAATTCACTCCAGTGTTGTGAAAGACAAGTGAGGTAAGTGTTTTACCAAGAACTAGGGAGTAATAAATGCTCCTTAGTTATTTCCTCAGTTGCTGCTGACTTACCGTAAAAGGTGTGTAAGTGTGTAGCTTAGTCTACAACAAATCCTGCCAGCCAAGCTCACACACTGTGCACTTTGAGAGACCTCTTTCCTTTGGCAGATAAATCAAGAGTTGCTAATATAATTTCAAATGTGTGCGTACCTACTGTTGCTATTTTATTTTGTAAATTTGAAGGAGTAGTTCAGTTACTGCATCACTACATGGCAGACCTCTGATCCACAAGTTTTTCTTTGAGGTATAAAGCACAGTATTTACTTTGTGTTTAAGGCTTTGAGACTTAAAGCTTTGAGAACAATGCATGTTTTTAACATTTTTTCTTCTAAATTAAAAAGTAGGGTAAATACTGACACAATAGACCAAATAGAATTAACACCACTGTTCTCTCTCTCCCTCTTTTATCCATGGTAGAACAGTGCAGTGAGAAGGTGATGGTCACAATGGCTTTGATACTTTCGTGGCTTGCAAAACTGCATGGACCTTACACTTTCTATTGGTTTAATTAATTACTTTATTTGTCAAAAGAAAAAAAATGGAGCGTTTCACCCCCACCCCCCACCCCAGGAATGTTTGTTTCTTTGTTTTATTCTTCAGTTCCCCTCCTCTAGGTTTTGGCTCATCTTCTTGGGGTAAACATAGGAGGATCTAGGGTTCTCTTGTCTGTATAGAAGACCTGTTTTCTTTCATTCTTTTCTCTAAGCACTCTGCTCCTAAGGTGTATCTCCCATATATATGGAATCTATCTATCTATCTATCTATCTATCTATCTATTCCATTTTCTGCTACCTTTCTTTTTCTTCCTTCCATCCCCTTGTAAAAATTTATTTTGAGACTCATTTCCCCCAAGATCCCAGGCTGACCTGGAACTCACTACATAGCTCAGGTTGGCTTTAAATTTATGGTAATCCTCCTGCCTGAGTCTCTCAAG